GTCGAACGGCGATTTGGTGTCAGTATCGTAATGATGTTTTTTTACAAGGTTGAACACTAAACTAAAAAATCAATTAACACGTGCGAGATGAAAATACATTAATAAGCATGTCGAGTATTAGATGTTGGATTATCCCCTAATGGGAAATGAAAGAATATCATCAAAAAAAGGAAAGAATCTTCCTCGGTTTAGATATTTTAGAAAAAAAAATAAAAAGTTCTACGAGAAGATGTTTTTTCAATATCTAACCAAGAGAAAAGGCTTCTCGTAAGAAATCACCGAAGGTTTGGAGAACTTGGACTTTTTTTCTAAGTACGATTTTCTGAAAAATCTTTTGAGCGAAAAGATAAAAAAAAAAAAAAAAAATTCGTTTACAATAGAAATATATTGTATATTATATTATGAGTATATGAGTAGGATTACCATTACATACATTACATACATATTTTATAAAACTTTAAAATATTTAATTTAACTAATTTTTAGGGTAAAATATATTTTAAAAAAAAAGGGGATAACACAAAAAGATGAAAATGCAACCTCACTCTTCAAACTGCGGTGTACTTGATATCAAAAATGTTTGAGGGTTACACATTTTACTTCAACAAAGTCTTTGCTGTTGTCTTTATTTGGTCTAGTCATGTTATCAGAAATTTTATTGAAACGCCAAACGTAGTAAACATACATGAACGATTTGATCACATGCTCAAGAAAACTCAATCCTTAAAGGCGAACCAAAAAGTGTAAACAATTGATAAGGGAATACCATAAGAAGATTTCGATGCCTTTATACGTGACGTGATTAATCAATCCAATTAATCCATCTTTTTGACAAAAGGTTTATTGTTATCGAATTTGCGATGTGCGTATGGTTAAGGTTTTCTATTGCAAAAGGTAAAAATGTCGACAAATACGTAATTTGATTGTTAAAGATTGTTGATACGCATAAGTTTGGAGGAAATCCAGAAGGAAAACGATCGACAAGATGTCTTTTTTTTAATATTATTTATGTAATATTACTTAAAATTTTGTAATAATTACCAAATTCCTACTTTCTATTATAGATTTCGTCATTTGAATGTTTTCATTTGTTGGATTCAATATGACATGGCATACGCTAACTGCGTAATAAATATATGAATATAATATATATATATATATTTATTTACTTATTTATGTATGTATCTAACAATACAAAAAGAAAAAAAACAAAAAAAAAAAGAAATAAATCATCATCATAAGTGAAATAAGTTTTTTGAATAAGGAGTGTTAATTTCAACAATTAATGGCTGTGTGAGCTCCGTTTACTCAAATAGTTGTTCCGAAAAAAATGTCCGACATTGATATGCTATGCACGATAATATTTGATTGGTGAAACCGTAAAAGTTTTTTTAACGAAGGTAAGGTTTATTTATGTTATTTATCATTTATTTTCGATTTGTTAATACTACCGTATTTTTTTTTGTAAATTTTCTTCGAGAAAATTTTTCTTGGTAATTTGAACCTTTTTTTTATCATATTAACATCTACATTATCACAAATAGGGATGGGGAAAAAAAAACCATGAAAGGCCAACTTTGCATTTCCCAATTATGATACGGCGTTATTTAAAGTTATCATGATTTATTATTTATATATTTATTTATTTTTGGGTTGTCGTTCCAGAAAGAATTTTGAGAATTTTTTTCTATACTTTCATAATTGTATAAATCAGAGGTATAATAATAATCACATGATCTGCATACTGCGCCAAAATCGCGGAGAAAATGTTTCTTTAAAATTTATATTTGAGATTATCATTATATACTAATTAAAGAATACAAGAATACGGAAAGATACGGGAATAAAATGTGATTTCAAAAACTTTCATCCAAATACAGAATCCGGCAATAACCGTGCCTTTTTAAGGTACACTAGTATACACATTATGAATTACCAACGCAATTCTCGAGCCATGTGAGCCGGTGACATTTACGTAATTTGCCAAACAAATTCCAGTTAGATTCTTATCAACGTATTTCACGTATAATGTAATATAATAGACAAAATAATCAAACTTTCGATTCGTCAAAATACGTGCAACCATTAAATAAAAAGAAAAATTGGAAAAAAGTTGATTTCTTTGATTTTTATTGACAATAGATATTTTAATATATTGTAAATACATACATATCACCGAATTAAAAATTTTCTTTAAATACGCTCCCCTTCAGACGAGACAATAATTTTTTTTGTGGAAAAAACTCATTCCTCCTTCAAACGATTTTTTTTTTTTTTTTTTTTTTTTCATACAAAATAATAATAACAATGATCTCTAATAAAAAAAATAATTGTGTTAACCAAAGAAGACGACGAAGATTTTTGTTGAAACAACAATACAATAATCCTTTTTATTATAGAATTATTCGTATGCCACCTCAGATTTTAACTTCCGGCAACCAAAATAACCAAAACGATCAGTTCATGGCCCAGCTTTTTGGAGGAACTCCTTTCTAAATTTTTCCTTTCCTTTTCTTATTACGATACTTTTATTAATATTCGTGAACAGTATATTATTCGATTTTTTTTTTTTTTTTTTTTTTTTTTTTTTAAAAAAAAAAAAATCATTTCGTTAGTTAATGGAATAAAACATCTGAAATTAAACAAACAAACAATCGATTGGCCAGGAATCACAAAAAACATCGTTTCGTTCTTTGGTTTCTTCCCTCTTTTCTTTTCTTTTCTGCGTTACGTTACACGATGACCGATAAATCCACAATGCGTTGTGGCTTTATTTGGGTCAAAATAATTCACGTGATTACTTCATACTAGACCGACCGAGCTTTCTCTCGTGGAGTTCGAAATTGTCAACCCACTTCGAAAATGGTCGTTCTTCTAAAGAATACGTCACCCAAACAAATGCCGGGTTATATGGTTACAGGGATATGGCAGGTGTCTATACCCTCTCAGGTATACCTTGTTTTAGTTATAAGAAAGAATTTTACCGCTGTTCTATAGTTATAGGGAATAGTGTTGGTTATAGGGTTATAAGGGTTAGGATTAAAATGTTCAAATATGCCTTAAATTAAGAATGTTAAGCCACTGTTTTTTAGAAACTTTTGTTATATTCTCTTTCGAAGATATTAAAGATCTTGTAATCAATAAAGTTTTGAAGAACACGTGTTCATTATGATTTTTTTTTTTTATTTATCTACAATAGAAAAGAAATAAAAGCCCCTTATCATTGAAAAAAAAAATTTAATCAAGGAAAGTTTTTTCAGTGTCCATAATCCACAATTCGATGTACCTGTACATAATGAATCATCGTATGATAATGTACTAAATCAAAGAAATAAAATGAGAAAAGTAGAAAAGAGAAAAATTAAAGCTTTAAATTTCTGAAGCGAAATACTAAATAATTATAAAAGAATAGAAGAGAATACAAGGGAATATATTTACATTATGCAAAGTAAATTGCATGCATTATCTTCCAATACTTCACTTGTTCTAAACATTAATACGTGCATCTCCCCATCCCTCAGCCTTCACATTAGTATTCCCAGATGATTCTGATGTAAGCGGGATCAGCAGGCTCATATTGAGTAGCATAATAAGGTTTACATTTAAGTTGAATGAATTCCACCATCTCTCTGATCAAAACCTGTATCTCCTCGGCCTTTTCTTCCTTCATTTGTACGGAAAAGACAAGATCTGGGATCTTTACAATAAGGCGCATTAAATGTTCCGCGCCATAAATTGAAGAATAAGAAAGTTCGGGATATTTTTCAACTAATTCAACAAATTGCTGCCTTTCGAAACGATAAAGCAGATTGACCGGTAGAACCTCATTAAAAAATTCTTTAAAATCTTCTACATCATCCTCCACGTCCAACTCTTGTTGTTTGGTAATCTTATTCCGTTCTCTTAACCTTTCCAAATACCAATCTAAAAATTCCTTTAAGATATCATCAACTGTCTTTTCTCTTGGCATGGGATGTATAATCAATTGATTTTTGGTTATCCATTGCCATTCATCGACCATCCTAACCTTCTCCTCGATATTCACATCAACGGATAATCGAATCCTTTTCGAACGTAATTTTGAATTCTTCTTATCCCCACCCCCTTCCGGGTCACTATCATCTTCCTTTGACCTCCTTTTATTATTATCATTATTATCGACCAAATCGAGATCTGATGATTCCATTATAAAATGCTTCCTTGGCATCATATACATGTCTATATTTTCTTGAGTCTTCTTAAGTAACCTTGATTCGGGTACCCACTCATCCCATTTCTTATTCCATCCTTTGTAATGTACGTGATATTGTGGTCCCACTTCTCCCACTTTGCTCGTGTATATTATCCTCGTGTCCAAGATTTGCGCTACATATACTGTGGGACCATGATAACATAATGCTTCTTCTCCCTTTTGATATCGTAACTTTACGTTTGGTGAAGAATTTCCCGAACTATCATATGAATCCGAAGAAGGTGAGCTCAAGGAAGACACATCGGTTAAAGAACCATCAGACAGTATCGAAGCCATTACGTAAATATCTAAATAGAGAATTTTTTTTTTTTGAAGAATGATTATTTTAAGTCGTAATCAGAGTAGAAACTCATAACAGAGATTTCAAGTCAAAGTCAGGGTGAAAAATATATATATTGCATATATATAAAAAAAAGAAAATAAATTAAATTCTCTTTCGTGATATAGTTTTTAAGATTTTAAACATTTTTTGATGGGGTCTTCTTTTTTTTTAAACGAAAGAATATGTACAATCACGTAAATCGTGTTACCGGTAACAAATAATCACGTGATCTAATAATAACCTTTTATTGGGTGGGAAAAAAAATTTTCTATTACAATTACAATTAATTATATAATATACAATATTTTTATAAAAAATCTAAAAAGGAAAAAAAAATTTAATTTATTTATACTAATGAAGAAATAAGAAGAGAAGAAATAACCGAATGACGCTCCATATAGAAGCAAAGATTGAATAAAATAATAATGATAGAAAGCTGATCCTAATATAAAATGGTAAACTTTTATAATGTTTTGTAATGTCGGGGAAGATAATTGTGAATGCGTTTGGTATAAGGATCATTACAACGTGATGAATGTATGCTTCAACATCTATAAACCAAATTAGGGAAAGGAAGAAAAGCAACGTTAGAGTTAATCAACATGTCACACGAAGTTGGAAAAAAAAAATTATTTATGCATTAATATTTACCGTCCCAGTTGTCGATAACTTCTATATTGTCAACTATATGATGAAAAAAAAGGAATGCATGTAAGATAAGAGGGGTAAGTCTCATGCAGTCGGAAAAAGTAATGGTTTTTATTCATACCGATAAAAGCCCCCGGAATGTTATATTCCAACGAGAGTTCATTTTTAACCTTATGAGGAGGTGGGGTAAGGATCAGACTGTCCTTGTTATTCTCTGCATAAGTTGAAGGAGGACGCGATAATTGCGATCCGAATTCTATTTTAAGAAACAAATTCCATTTAACGACTATAAAATTACTTTAAGCTAAATGTTTCCTTTACGGAATTGCAACTTACCAAATATATCCGAGGTATTATTGACACTCCATTGACCTTCAGGGTCCGAGGTGTGTTGAAGTCTCGCGCAAAATGAAACCATTTGATGAAAAGAATTTGGAGAAAAATTTTCAGGTTCCGGTAAACTTGGAAAATCCAAAAGACGTTTTGTATAAATCGCTTCAGGATGTGTAAAAAAATTTCCATCTTTATGCCTTCTCTCGCCGTCAATGTTAAATTCTGCCGCAATATCAGACGTGGTATCATTACATAAATCCAACCACCATTGTACCCATATATAAACTTCTTCAGCTTCAGGACGATTTAATGGGTTTGCATCCCAACACCTTTTAATTAATTTGGCCAAAGATTTTGGCATCGAATTATTGATATGAGGTCTTAACCCGCAACAAATCCTTTGAGCTAACAGTCTATCATGAGCATTCAGGTCAAATGGAGGTCTTTGAACTGCCACCTCCCACATGACCACACCAAGGCTATATATATCTGCCGCCTTATTGATGATCCCTCCTCGTAATACTTCTGGCGCAACATAAGGAAGAACCCCGTAAACCCCATTGGAATGTGATAGTGTGGGTGAATCATCCCCGTGATTGTTTATTTCGGTTATTATGGTGCTATTCATTAATCGTTTTAGATTTCCCGTGTGAAGGTTCTTGTGAATGAAACCCGCGTCATGTATACGATTGATAACAAAAGCGATATCGGCAAGAATCTCCAACTTTGTTTTCCAATCATATTCGGGATAAGGTAGCGAACTGTATAAATAACTCTTCAGGTCTCGTTCAATACAGCGAATAACCAGCGCGTATTCCTTTGTGACCGGATCTTGAGTTATTCCGTAACATCGAATCAAACCATTTTTCCCATTTTGATGTGAAAGCAACTACATGTGTATTAAAAAAAAAAAATTTAGGAAGACGTCTTTGATTGGCAAGAAGGATTTAAAAAAAAAAGAAATCATGAAATCATTTTTACCTCATTAACAAAATTCGCAAAGTCGGTCGATAAACCTTGAAGGACTTTAACATAAAATTTTTTTCCGGCTTCACTCCTTCCCCATTCTTGCTTTACGCGATCCCAATAAGTGATGTAACCATCTAACCAGGTAACGGAATAGGCGGAACCAAACCTGCCAATGCCAATATGTTTGACTTCCATTAAACGTTTCCATGGAATCCATTCCAATATTTGAGAATAATTGGTAGCGGTTAATTGAATCGTGGAAATAAATTTATCGATATCTTTATTATCACTCGTCCACGTTTCGAACCTTGCTTCGAACCTTTCATTGTTACACTTTGAACACCATTCTTCATTAAGTTTCGGATGTTGACATTCTTTACAAATTCCATATAATTCAAGTCTTTGACCCAATTCGGAATCATCTATTGAGCTCGAAGTTGTATGAGTCGAGATAAAATCCGAATGTTTAAACTCTACTTCCATCATTTGATTACTTTTCAACATATTAATATGATACTTTTTATTTTTTTAATTATCTTGAATTTTATCTTATCATCAACCTTATAGTATATTAGTATATTATATACACACAATAATTATCTTGCATACATACATATATTTGTCAGAAGGTAAAAATTTTTTCGGTTATCCGCCCTTTTTATTTTTTTTCGAGTTAATTTGTAGTTTGTGACGTAATCCTTAAAATAAAATTTTTTTTTTGCTTCTTTTATTTTATTTTTTTTTTTTTGGTTTTCGAAAAAAAAACTTTTTAAGTCATATAATAATAATAATAATCAAAAAGAAAAAAAAAAAAAGAGAACGGAAATTTCCAGTTGAGAAAAAAGGAAAATGTTGGGAAAAGGATAAAAAAAAAAAATAATGAATCCTTAAGTGCTTGTTAAATAGTTATTTACACAAAATATAAACATCAATTTATTGATAGAGTTTATTTATTGATCGAAAAAATCGATTTGAAAATCTCCTGCATTATTTATTCGACTTAATTAAAAAAGTTACCATAAAAGGTCATTTTTTTTGGCGCGAAAAAAAATAAAGGTTTCTCGATGAAACAATAGAACCAATCGAGTTCGTTGATCAACTTATTGATTAAGCTTGTTTATTGGTGCTCTTGCATTATACATTTATACGATTAAATACGGTAATACTAGGTAATACGAAATGCTGTTTACTAAAATTAATCGATTAGAGGAATTGATGAATTGATTAATTAATATCCGGTGACATTTAATGGTCGTGAGGAAAATTATTCTCGCCAGTCTATACTTATGAAGCAGTAGGGGGTGACGCGGGTGACAAATTGAATAAGTCACGTGGTGAAAAAAGTGTTGGCGAAATACTGGTCAATAATGTCGTTGGAAGAGTGAAGCGTCAAATGAATTTAAGGATTTATAAAGAGAATCAATTGTTCATATATTAAATTTTGTAAAATCTTAACTATTAAAATACAGAAAAGTTTATACATATAATTTGAAATTAATGGATATTGTAAGAATATTTAGTAAGCAAAAAAAAGACTGAAATTTACTATTTTTTTTTTTTTTTTTTCAAATTGTCCTTCCTATATTAATTATTCTTGTTAAAACAGGAAAATGGTGTGAATTTATCGTTATTTTTGTTTGATGCTATGAGTACATAGTACATTCTAGTAACGCTGTCATCTGTTCTTATCCTTTCCTCCTTTAAAGATGTAATGCTAAAAACTAATTTTGAGAAGGTGAACCTTGTGACGCTGATGAAGGTTCCGATTTGTTTGGGTTTCCAATTGTGGGAGCTTGGTTAAGGGTTGCTGACACTAGGCAGAAATATGATTAAATCCAAAAAATAAACTTGCCTTCAAAGTATGAACAAATTTAAAATAATACTTACCGCTACGTGATCGTGAGGCTTGCGTGCTAATGCTCTGAGGACCCAAACCGATTACATTTAAAGGCATGGATTTAACATCGCCAGCAGAAACTGATCGACCTCGAACAAGATTTTGCGTGGAATTATTGGGGTTGTGCGTATTCGAGTTTGATCTTCGCGCCTATATTCAAAGAAATTAAAACGCTTCCAAAAAAAAAAAAAAATAGTAGCAAGACGAATTGCACTCACATTTCTCTGATTACTGCTATGTCTGATAAAAGCGGGCACACTACAAATTGAATACAAACATTGAATAAACGTAACGTAAAAAATTCAATCAACATGCTAACGCGATCACTTACGGTTCCTCTGATAATAAATCTTCTACTGGTAACCCAGATTTCTTTCTCAATTCAATTAATTCATTCTTGAATCGAGTTGCTTGACTTGATTTCGCAATATCTATCATCAAAGGTGTCATTAATACAAGAATAAACGTAATCATTATAATCTTCGTATTCATGACTTACATTCTTTTTCAATCTCTGAGATTCTGGTCCTGAGAGTACCAACTTCTACCTTTAACACTTCAACTATACCAGGAGAAGCAAGACTAAAATCAGGAGAGGTAGGGGAAGAAGAGTGCGCAGTTATCCATTTTTTGTGACTGTGAAAAAAAGGTAAAAGAATTCGTAAGAAAGAGTTATCGTTTCTTTTTAAAAGGAATAAATTTTGGGAATAACCTACGTCGAAGAAGGAGAAGCCGGAGGTAAAGGAGTGATGCTCCCAGTATTAGAAGTTGAAGAGGTGCTGTTCTCACGTGAATGATGTGGATGATATGTCTGTTGTTGACGCAATGAATCAAGTTGTTTTTGAAGTCGATTGACGATATATTCTTGTTCTTGCTCGAGAGCATTTTCCATATCAATTTTTTCTTTTTGCAGCTAAATAAATATAAAATGTTCATAGTTGGTAATGGTATGATAATTAATCTTTGTACATGATCGGATTTTACCTGATTCAGTTTCTTTTGTAAAGTATTGGTAAGATATTCCTCCTCTTGTTCAACTTGGAGGAGTAATTCACCTTTCTCTTTTTTAAGTCCTGAAATACGTTTTAGTAATTTATTTGAAATATATTCTTCCTCTTGTTCAGCCGATGCGTGCTATAAAGAGAATATATTAAATAAAACTGTAATAATCTGCTCAACATCACGCTGTTACAAATTACTACCATATCGACTGTGATCTGCCTTAACATTTGATTATCGTGTCTCAAAATATTGACATGTCCTTGTTCCATTTCAACTTCAAACTTGAGTTTCTTAATTTCTAATTCTTGTTGTCGAATACGTTCGTATGCGTTTTGAAGTTCCTGCTTTAAAACGATTGGATCTTCAGACTCCATCGCCAACTTTTGCGCATCAGTGGGAATGGGCGAAGGTAGCATTCCTGCACCGATTTCACTAACAATTGAATGACTTGGAAAGTTACTAATACACCGTCTTCAATTATTATTCTTTCTTAATTTTCTGTAAAACGAAAAATGTATCTCAAAGTCTCACAAAACAAAAAAAACTGTGTGTAATCATTCCATAACTAACCCTTGGTTAATTTGTAACTTTGACAAAGTACTCTGAAATGATTTGGCCCGTGCTTCCATCGATGCTTCCAAGGTCGCCTTCTCTTGTCTGGCCTTTATTCGTGAAAGGATAAAAATTTCCATCAATATAAAATTCGTAAAATCAAATTTATTAACAAATGCAGCTGATCTATAATTTTATATGGACATTCTCACATAATTCAATTGTTCTTGAAGGGATTTTGTAATGCTCTTTTCACTCTGTTCAACCTGCTGCAGAGCTTTGGTACGATCCTTAAAGTTGAGCCGAATTTTTATTGAAACAAAAAATCGTTAAAATTTGTATGTGGTTAATTTTTTTAAAAAAAAAAAAAAAACAGCTCTAAATTTTACGCCTAAAGCCAGGCAGAAAAATGAAAAGCTTCAACATTTTCACCAAAGGTAATACGCGAATGCTCACCGAAAGGCCCTCACTTTTCTCTGTAAGGTCAGCATTCAACTGTTTAATCTTTTTTAATTCCTTCGCCTGTTGGCGGACGAGAGCTTGGAGTTTTGCTGGATCTTGTGATAATTCTGTTTCACTCATAATTTATCTTGGAATTGTTCTTTCGTCAAAGATTTAAAGATTTTCGTCTAATATTGAGCATTCAATTAATTTAATTATTTTAGTCTAGTGATCTTCAATCTGATGACTTGTTGGTCGAATATCCAAACATTCTCACGGTCATGAGGAATATGTTGAATTGATTAATTTTCGAGATGATGATTAAGAAAACATTTGGATTTTTTTTTAAAAAAAAAAAATTACCTAAAAAATGGAGTCTACGAAAAAGAAAATGTCAAGTAAAAAAAAGAAAAGATTAGAGAAATATATTGTAAGTCGTAATTTTGTTAATATATCGACAAAGGTAAAACGAATTTAACTGATGAAATCTTTTTACAGGAGAAAAAAATTAAAAAGGAAGAACGTGTCAAGTTAATGGAGAACCTTTCAAAATCTTCATTTTCATCAGAACTTATGAAATCAAGTAAAAATTTGGGTAGAAGGGTAAGAAATAGAGAATTTCAATGAATCGATTCAATTTTATAATAATGATACTGAATTATACAAGGATTAAATATTTTAAATAGAAAGAGACCATGAAAGAACGACTTCGTAAAGCTTATAATGAGAAACGTTTAGGATTGCCTCAATCTGATCCTAGTGTTCCTTTGTTTGTGAATGTGAATGAAGGAGGAGATGATTTAAGCGATCACGTGATTTCTGAAGACGCTGGCAAAAGTCTCGCAAAAGATCATTCTTCGAGAGCCAAGCTCCCTGATACCAAGGAACAGGGCAAAGCGATAAACGTGATTAATCAAAATGATTTCTTGGGAAGTGCTCTTAAACGAGATTCAAATGGAGAGTTTGTAATGCCAATAAAAAAAAAGAAAAAAAGTAAACCCAAAAAACGACGGGTAAATTTCTTATTCTTGTGTGTATTGTATCTTTGATTTATGTGATTATTGTGATTTAAGCTTACATAGGGTTTGACTTTAGGCAAAGATAATACAAGAGCCAACATTAGAAGATGACTCCTTTGATAGTTCAGACTCTCAATATGACACCGACGAAGAGATTGAAAAAAGTTCCGAAACGGAAGTGAATGAAATGGTTACAAAATCATCAAAGGGTCAATCGTTTAAAGAATGGGCAACAGAACAAATGGGCATGAAACTACAGGGTAATCAAAATGAAAGCATCGTAGACGAACCTAATATCAAATTCATGAAGTCACAGAAAGAGACAAAATGGGTTAATAAAAAAGTTTTGATCCAAGATGGAATCGACATTACTGGAAGTATAAATGATGATAAACCTAATGTTATGTCGTCTGAATATAAAGTCGTTAAGAAGGTATGAAGCATTCATATTGCCTCTTCCATAAACCATACCCTCACTTTGTCAGATTCTTTCTTTTTAAGGCCTTCTATGTCCCTGTCAAAAGAAACAAAGAAACCCAAGAAGCTAGAATGAAGCTTCCCATATGTGGTGAAGAACAAGCCATAATGGAAGCAATAAGTAATAATCCTGTAGTAATCATATGTGGTGAGACTGGTTCCGGCAAAACAACTCAAGTACCACAGTTTCTATACGAAGCTGGTTATGGTAACAAGGATAGTGGTATGTAACACTAATTATTAAATCTAGCCATTCCGATCTCTTTTATTATTGACAAAGCATAAAAATATTAGATAACCCGGGAATAATTGGTATAACGCAACCTCGACGTGTTGCTGCTGTGAGCATGTCAAAACGTGTGGCACAGGAATTGTCGTTAAGCGAGCAAGAAGTTTCTTACCAGGTTCATATGATATTATTAACGCGTTTCATATCGAAAGAAACCTAATGTAATAAAATTAACTTTATTAGATTCGGTATGATGCGACAACATCGCCAAAAACCATCATTAAGTTTATGACTGATGGTGTTTTGCTTCGCGAACTTGCCAATGATTTTCTTTTATCAAAATATTCCTCCATTATAATCGACGAAGCACACGAAAGAAGTTTAAATACTGATATCTTGATCGGTGTTGTAAGTCGTGTACTCAAATTACGGGCCGAATTGAGTGAAGAGGAAAAAAGTAAAATTAAGGTATCGTAAAAAAAAAAAATTTATAAATGATGTTGACTCCTTTGTAAAATAAGAATCTGATATTGACCATATAATTCTTTTAGCCGTTAAAAATTATTATTATGTCGGCAACTTTACGTGTTTCTGATTTTACACAAAATAAAAATCTATTTGTTATGGCTCCTCCGGTTATTAATGTTAATGCTCGTCAATTCCCTGTAGGTGCAATTTTAATTTTAAGCTTCTTTTAAGTGAGTAATTGCTAACGTTATCTATCTGTTGCTAGGTTTCGATTCATTTCAATAAACGGACCCCTGATATTGATCATATTAGTGAAACGTTCAAGAAAGTCTGTAAAATCCACACGAGACTTCCACATGGAGGTTAGTACTTAATCATCCGTTAAGTTCTTGGATTTCTGAGTATTAATCTTCACTATTAAAAATAGGAATCCTTGTATTCTTGACTGGTCAAAACGAAATTTCTATCCTTTGCAGAAAACTTCGTAGGAAGTTTCCTTATATAAAGCAAAATCAAGATACCTACATGAGCAGACAGTTGTTAGAAGAGAAGGAAATAATCAATGAAGCAGTTGAAAAAGTAAGAGAATGTTTAACCGCAAAACAAGGTAAATTACCTATTTATAACCGTGTTTTTACATATTCAAATACTTTATACATTATATTTTATGCATTTACAACGTACATTGTAGCTGATATCGAGACTGAAGATTTGGATATTGGTGATAAAGAAGTTGAAGAGGCCGAATCATTTGATACCGATTCTGAAGATTCTGAAGACATTAAAGATTTTGACAATGATGAAATGATAGTCGATCAGCATGGTAAGGAATATTACTTTTTATCATCAACTTGATTTCATGATCTAATTTAAACTCTTTTTCTTAATGTAGCTGGACCACTTTATGTACTTCCATTATATTCATTGTTATCCACGCATGCCCAATTACGTGTTTTTGAACCACCACCGGAAGGAACACGTCTATGTGTAGTCGCAACTAACGTTGCGGAAACATCATTAACCATTCCCGGTGTGAAATATGTTGTTGACTGTGGGAAAGTTAAAGAACGTCAATATGATGTTACAACGGGAGTGCAATCGTACGTAGTTGGTTGGACCTCGAAGGCATCAGCAGATCAACGTGCAGGGCGTGCCGGAAGAACAGGACCTGGACATTGTTACCGACTTTACTCATCAGCAGTATTTAATGATCAATTTCAACAATTCACAGTACCAGAAATTCATCGTATGCCAATTGAAGGAGTAGTATTACAAATGAAATCGATGAATATAGATACCGTCCTTAATTTTCCTTTTCCCACTCCACCTGATCATGACAAATTGCGTAAAGCCGAAAATTTATTACAATACTTGGGTGCTTTAAATGAAAATGGAAGAATAACTGAACTTGGACGTACTATGGCAACGTTTCCCATTGCACCTAGATTTTCCAAAATGTTAATTATTGGACAGCAACATGGGTGTCTACCTTATATTATCGCTATCGTTTCGGCTTTAACTGTTGGTGATCCATTCATTAAAGATTTTCATTTAGATAATAATAGAAATTCTGATGAGGAGGAGGAGAATGAAGATGATCGATCTAATGAATTGTCTGGTATTCATAAAGAAAACATTTTACAAAAGGAACGTCGAAAATTAATCAGGAAAAGTTTCTATGACGTACAAAAGGTTCGCGTTGAATTTAGAGGTCCCATTTCATTTCATTTAATTATGTGAAAATTATTTGCATCATTTCTTTTTTCTTTAATCTTAGAAACATTCCGGACTTGATCCTACTAGTGATATATTAAAATTACTTAGTGTTGTAGGCGCGTATGAATATGAAGGGGGTACGGATAAATTTTGTGAGAGTAATTTTGTTCGACCAAAGGTATGATAACATAATGGTTATAAACCTCATTTTCTATAATTTGAATTTTATTTAATTTCAATTTGGGAAACCTTTTTTCAAACTTTGATAGGCTATGCAAGAAATACATAAATTAAGAGGGCAAATAACAAATATTGTACAAATGAATTGTCCCGGAGTTGATGTCTGTGTCGATCCAAAAATGAAACCACCATCAACGATTCAAGTAAGTGAATTTAGTGTCTAACTGTTTAATTCCTTTAATAGATGTTCTTATATATTAATCCGTTAATTCATTAGATTAAAGCATTAAAACAAATTATTACAGCGGGATTTATAGATCAGGTAGCAATCCGTAAAGGAGTGATAGAAAAATCATCAAAAACATTTTCATCAACAAGAAATGTAGAATATTGCACCATGTGGACGGAAGATGTTGTATTTATTCATCCTACGTCTATATTGTATCATAATAAACCACCAAATTTTGTCGTATATCAAGAATTGCATAAAACAAGTAAAGTTTGGATGAAAGGTAAAAAAAAAAAAGGTTTTTGATTCTTATTTTATTTTAGAAGGATACTTACATAATCATTCTTGACGATATGTCCTAAGGTGTCACTGTTGTGGAGTCAAGTTGGCTATCCAAACTTGGTAAATCATTATGTACATTTTCCAAGCCAGTTGAACTGACAACAAGCAAGTACGTATCGCTTTTTAACAATGTTTTTAGTGTTTTATAATGTTGTTTGCTTTTAATTGTTCGCGCGCATTTTTTATTTTAATTTCCACGTGATTTTTAATATAGATCAAAAAAGAAGAAAGAGTCCGAGAAAATAGCCTATGTATCTCCAAGTTTTGGTCCCAAGAATTGGGAATTATCTCCCATGAAAATAGTAGCACAAAAAGTTAATGGTAGATGGACCTATGGATCTATATAATATTCAACCATTAATTACATTAATTACGGTAACATTTATTGGCAAAATAACTTAAAATTTTAATTTTTGTAATATAGAAGCCCGACTACAAATGATTTTTACCACATTTATTTAATCAAATAAAAATTTCTTTTTTTTTCAATGTACATAAATCTATCTGCTAGCTTATTTGGGCTATAACAAAATTAAATTTGATTGATGGATTACAACATTTTCAATCTTTTAAAAGAAAGCATTGGTAAAACAACGCGTAAGGACGCGTAAAATGGATAATCTTCCTTCAGCTTCAGCTTTCTTTTGGCTGTTAGCGCGTCTATTAGTATGTCACTCCTCCTAACATGAATGACGTATCCAATTGGCGTATGTCGATCAATTTTAAAACTATAAAATAAAGGAAGAAATATACAGTATGGAGAGTTAGATTGAATCATCTCATTTAGGAGAGCAACGTTTCAGATTTATTTGATAAAGTTTTTTGTGATCGTTAAGCGCGTTCTGAATTTAACACCCGATCAAATAACAAATGAACGAGAATAAATACTAAATTGTAATTATAAATAAAAAGCAAGGCTCGATTTTTTTTTTTTTATTAAACGTTGAAATCAACCTTCTATCACACACATGATCATTACCATAATCGTTTTGGTTACAACCCTATCTTTTTTCTAAACGAAAAAAAGCTACTCAATTAATCATAGGCTCTCGCTTTTGAGAGTCATTAAACAATCGCGAAAACGACACGCTTGTTTTTGAACGTTTTTGGTTTTCATTTCTATACTTTTTAAAAGAGAGAAAAAAGATATCGACCAATAATGCCCGTAAATAGAGAACTCAAGGCTCTCGTCGCCAGCATGGAGACATACCCAACCTTGGCCTCTGTAGAAGGCAAAAATATAGCCGAAAGACTCAAGAAAAGACAAAGAAGAAAGACAATAAGTCAGATTGAAGCAAAACGGATTGAATTAGATGACCCTTTTGTGGCTCGGCGAAATACAAAACGGCAATGGAATGAGTTTATAGGAAGGTTAGAAGAAGAAGAAGAGGATGAGGAAGAAGAGGAAGAAGGAGAAGAATCTCAGACCGTACAACAAGAGCTGGAAATTAACACCGAAGAAAGTGATTCCGCTTGGGAACCTTGGGAAGAGGTAACACCCACAAGACATTATAGAAGGAGGCCCGTTATTAGGAGAAACGCCCTCATAAGGACCAGGGTTGAAATGTCTACAAGGGAAAAGAGAAGACGATTTAAAACCTTAAAAGAAACGCAAGAGGGCAAGAAAGAATTAGATGCCGTGGAAAGTCTTCTTACCATGGCAAATGGAAAAAAAGTATCTCAAATGATGATGACATCAAAGCGAGTTATGGGGGAGATTAATATGAGACCTCCTAAACCTGTTTTAGGGGAATTAATTCCTCAGGTGCAAAGTGGACCCAAAAAGGCTTCCAATGAATTGAAGAGAAAAGAAATAAAATCCGTGTTGACATCATGGAATGTTCACCGTCGTGGGATGTTCGTCATATTGGCGGATCATATTGTCACGTCTACCAAAAAAGGGGAAACAAATGGAGATAGTTTAGATTTCAGGACTTTACTTGAACATTGCTTGGAAAATTACATCTGCCAAGATGAGAAAACTTTTCGTCATTACTTGCAAGACTTTTATTATCATGGCTTATTCTTGGCAAAAAAAACCACTTGCGGGGAGATCAGGATCACTATCCCAACTCCTTTGCATGACCTCAAGTTATTGTTGTCGGATAAGAACCTCTTCGGTGATCTTGATTGATGATGATCCAAGATCACTGTCAGAGAAACTTTTTGATGGGTTTATACCATTAAATAGGACAATCATAATAATAATAATAATAATAATTTGTAAATAGTGTAACTCAAAAGTATTATATGTAGTAATATTAGCACAAAACCTTGGTTTTTTGTAATAGAACTTTTCTCCCCGATTTTTTTTTTTTTTTAAAAAAAATGCCATCATGTGATTTGGCGATATGAAATAACATTAATAGATAGCCAGTAAAGTTATGGACCTTCCGGTTCCGCATCATCCAGTTCTTTAATTCTTTCCCACTTTGAATAAACATTCCAACAACACTTTAACCTTAAACTCACGCGTCAAATTTACGCGATTGAATAATCAAATTATCCTTATCATGTCGAACTTTAACCGAGAGGGTTAATTTATTTGTTGTAAGATGAAATTTCTTAAAGATCCTTGGCTAACATTTTCGTCGGATCAATCTCATCAGACGAATGCAATTTGGTATACACGAATAGCTAAAAATAAAAAAAAAAGAAAAAGCTTAGAACAAAAACAATCAGGATATTAGATATTGGTGAATGAATGTGCGGTGAAAAAAAAATGTGCGGGTATTTCATGGAAAATTAACAACCAAAATGATATAATGAGTGATTAAACATCATGATGTAGAATCGAGTGAATGTACGAATTGAATAAAAAAAAAAATTGTTACCATCTAAAAAGATCTTTCTTTTATAAGGTTGAAAGGGTATGGTTGAAATATAATGCTCAAAAGCTGTGTATATTATTGATTACGAATCAAACCATTTAAATCATTTAAATCATTTAAACCATTTATCTTGGGTAACATCATCCAAAATAATTTAATAATTGACAGTTTGATCTTAAACCAAGATTTTCTTATGATGATATAGATTTTATTAATGATGATACCATATATATCATGAACTCAAAATAAAACTCGAAATCTGCATTCACAATCTAAATGCGCTTGTTACCAAATTGACGAAAAGCGCGTAAACGCGTTTTATCTATCATGATGATTCCGAGTTTCCCAATGACCTTGCTACGCCATTTCTGTTGTTTAAAAATGATGTATTACATATGTGTAATATCATCTTTGGCCTCTCTTACAAATCATGCAACCCTAACTCATCAAATGGATATCGAATTATCAATAAGTTTATGATGATGTCATTCAGTTTCAATCAAAAAAAAAAGAATTCTTGGATTCCTTGCTGAAAATCCGCAGCAACACCAACAGTTACACGTGATTGCAAGTTTAGATGGATAATCTTTTCTTTTGATCTTTTTTATAAGTTCGCATTTTTTTTTTTTTTATTTAAAAAAAACAAAAAATATTTTGATAAAACAATAAAACAGGAAAAAAAAAAAATATATTTAATTTTTGGGAGGTTCTGCTGCGGAATATGACTCCTTGAATTCGAATAGGATGTTTCAAAAATAAATCTGGGGTGACAATGTGATGAATTTCGTAACCGTAAATCGATCTTATCTTTTTAGATCAATTATATCATTTAATAAATTCGATAACAATCATTCGGGAGATTTTGGCGCAGTATGAGCCGATATTATAAAAGGGTGAGATTTCTTTGAAACACAACCCATATGGTAAGGAGGGTTCTTTTTTCGCTATTAGAATTTCGAATTTTTTTTTCTTTTACATAAAAATAAAAATAAAAAGCTTTCAGAAAAATAAAAAAAAAGAGAGAAATGGTATCCTTAAATAATGTAGAGGTTCAGTCCAGAGTGGCAGCAAATGGTTTTGGGAAAACGAAACCACCACCTTATTCAGTAAACATTATCTTTTATATAATTTTGACTTCAATTATATGTAATTATTTTCTACTCAATTGGGGAGGACGTGGTGACGGTAATATTATTAATGATAATGGTATACATGAGAAACAACTGGTCGTATGGGTAAAACATCCTTTACATACCGATCCCGTCAAAGTTCACGTGTCATACAATGCTGACATTGCCGACGTGAAAAAAGTTGTAAGGCAAGAATTGCAACCTGCACTTGATAAAGAGAGTCTTGGTAAAGTATTACTTTTAAGTCCTAAGCTCGGTCGGTTAAGTCCTCCAACATTGATAAGGAAGGTGGTTTTGGACAAAGATGAAAATCTAATCGTTTTCGTGGATAATCTTGGTACGTATTCAAAAAAAAAAAAAAAAAAAAAAAAAAAGTGTCCAGAATTCGAATAGGTATTTTGTGATAGATTTCCTTAATTTTTTCATTTTAGAATCTCGATTATTCTTGAAGACGATCACCACAGACCGTCTTCCGTTACAAGTAAATGCACCTTTATGCCTTAAAACTGATGAGGCTTATATTGCGGTGGCAAAGATATTGATGGGAAGTTATTCGCAACAAGACATAACGGCACTCAGAAATAGTCTTTGTGAATCGAGCATCGAAAGCTGGAGTTCTAGATATTCTTATGCAGGACGGTAAGTATAACAAGTAATTTTCGTTAATTTCATTGTTTTCATTGTAAATAGGAAAATCAAGAGACCGTACACATATTTTGTATAAATCTAAGCTTCTTAGCTATTTTAGCTAGTTATACGAATATGTTACAACTTTTGACTTTCCAAAAGAAAAGAAAAAAAAAAACTCACTATTTTTAGGGCAACATTTCCTTGAAATATGTTATTATGTGTTCTTGTTTTTTTTTTTTTTCTTTCTTTCTTTTTTCTTTTTTCTTATTTTTACCTGTCGATTTCGATTTTCTTTTTTTAATGTATATATTTAAAGACGGTAGAATTTGAAAAAAAAAAAAAAGAGAGAAAGTATATAAAGGCTTAAATCTTTAGAGATACCATTTTTTATATAAAAAAAAAAAAAAAATTATATATATATATAAGAGACACGAGTAGTGTATATTCAAGAAATTTGCAAGAAAATTACTCTTCTTGATTTCTTTTTTTTCAGGGTAATATTTTTTTTAAAAAAAAATAAAAAAAAATTAAAAAGAATTAAAAAAAAAAAAAATTAAATTTCATTTCATTTCTTATAATAAAATATATTTAGGACATGCGAATAAATAACTAAAATTATTTATAAAACATAAAATTAATTTTTTTTTTGTTGAATTGTTTCAAATTCTCAATAAATGAAATACAAGAGACTTCCTTTCGATTCTCATTTCCCACCTTTCTACATTTTTTTTTTTTTTTTTATTTATTCTTCACAATAGCTTCCATGAATTGCTCATAACTCATTTTAGCACAACCGGAACCATTTTGATCCAAAGCACGAAAAACGTCAGTCATTGTTTTAACGGTAACGCATAATTGAACGAAATTATCAAAGGAGATGGCATGTTCTAATTCACTTGACATTAACGTTCTGCCTTGAGTGTTATGAGAAACTTTATATTTTCTAACAAATTTTTTTAACATTTGTTCACTAATATTAAAACCAAAGTTTTTCATGGCCGTTATCAATTCGGGAATTTCAATAGTACCACTGTTATCCGCATCAAAAGCTGAGAAGATACGCTTCCAATCTTCAATATAACGCCACAAACCTACAAATTCATTAAAATGTATAGTACCAGTTCTATCACTATCGAATAATGAAAAAAGTAACTCTATCGTATCTAAATTAAATGCCGACCAATCTCCGTTTAATAATACGCGTTGAAGTTCTTTTGGGGTTAAAGTACCATTATTGTCCACATCAATACGTTGGAAGAAGGCCGTTAATTGTTGTTCGGAGACATTCTTTGGTGTCGTCATTTCTTTTTGTTTTTTGTGGACTTTTTACAAGAACTTTTTTTTTTATGAATCAAAAATAGTTTTTGGAACCTTGAAAGGGTTTTATTAAGAAATTATCTGAAATAACGCAACACCAGACTTGAAATATTTTTTATACAATGCAAGTTTCAACAACTTTAATCCATAAAGGTCTCCTGAAAATAAGATACAGTTAGATCATCTCACAGATGTCATGACCTTATCCTTTTTTTCCCCATTTGCTTATGCATGTATGTCACAAGATCTGACAAACCTGGAAAGATAATATTAAATTAGGAAATTCTTTTGAAATTCAAAAAGTTTCAATATTTTGAAATGCATAATCTATCGAAACAAACCATGATTCAAAAAAGCTATTTTATATCATTTTAATAAAGAATCCAAGCGTGAAAAGATTATGAATATTACATGATAGGTATTACATTACAATGTTAATAAAAATACATCTTTTATTTTATTTTCTAAATAAATATATAAGCATTTGATCACCTGTTCCTAAAGATTTTATAATGTATGTAACCTTTTTTTTCGCTTAATTATGTAATACATTTTAGTTACATAATAAACAAATCAAAACATTAAAAAAATATCCCGCGTCTCCCGTGAAATTCCGCGGACTAATCACTACACCACGAAAAATCCGCCTGATATTTTTCACGAGGAATTCTTTGGAACAACTTTTCAAGCATGGCATTGAAGGTAAAGAAGGAATTTATATTTTTCTTTTCCAGTAAAATGCGTCGGATAAAAAATATTTCTTTTACAAATTTCATATTAATTAATTGACACACATATATATATCTCTCTATTTTTATTTTCATTTTTTATTTTTTTTTTTAGTTTCTCACTCAAAGAATTGCGCAAACAATTGACGAAGAATTATTCTCTTCGTCTGGTGGATTCTCCGTTGATCAGGTTCGTTAATTCTCGAATTCGAATTCATCTTTTTCTTTCTTTCAAGTGAAATTAATTAATCAACACCTTTACAACTTTTCATAGCTTATGGAATTGGCCGGATTAAGTGTCGCACAAGCCATCACAAGAGTTTATGATAATTCAAAGTATCCTCGTGCATTAATCTGTTGTGGACCGGGAAATAACGGTGGTGATGGTAATTAATATTTAATCTAGAATGATAATTGATCGTAAATCGAAAATTTGTGAACATGTGTATACACACATATTATATGATGTTTAGGTCTTGTAGCTGCGCGTCATTTGTTTCATTTTGGTTATAAACCAAATATTTATTATCCTAAACCAACCAAAAAAGAATTATACGAGGTGAGTTAGATTTTTTTCCATTTTGATTGTTATCATAAATTTAATTTTATTATTTTTATTATTTTTTTTTTTTTTTTTTTTTTTTTTTTTTTTACTTTCTGTAGAGATTAGTAATCCAATGTCAAAACCTTAAAATTCCGATCACGGCGGAATTATCTGACTCGACATTCAACGATAATGATTTGATAATTGATGCTATATTTGGATTTAGTTTTTCCGGTGAAGTCAGACAACCTTTTGATCAAGTCATTCAGGTAATTATATCGATTGTCAAGTTTAAAAAAAAAGTTAACAATTGGGTGAACTTTTTTTTTTTTCTTCGATTCAACAGAGATTGAAGGGAACAAAGCTTCCCATTGTGTCAGGTTAATCAAATCATTTATGTAATCCCTTTTTTCTTTCAAAAACAATTCACAACATGATTAACTTTATTACTCTATTGATTTCTAGTTGATATTCCATCGGCATGGGATGTAGAAAAAGGTTCTTATTATTTACCATAAAAATTCGAAAAAAAAATTCTCCCCCCTTTTCTTAACACATAACTGATTATAGGAAACATTGATAATCGTGGGTTTACACCATCAATGTTGATTTCTTTAACGGCACCAAAATTATGTGCAAAGCATTTTAATGGTAAACACTTTCTTGGTGGCAGATTTGTTCCTCCGTAAGTCATTTGCATTACTACATGTTATATATTTGAATTAAATAACAATTTGGATACAAAAATTTAATAGAGAATTAGAAAGAAAATTTGAATTAAATCTTCCGTCTTATCCTGGTACGGATCAAGTTGTAGACATTACTAATGCACCAAATGAAAAATTATAGAGTAGGTTCAATTATAAGTAAGTAATCGTAGTTGCTGATGCCGTAAATTGTGTTATAAACTTCTTTATTAATGAATAAATTTTTTTATTTTTTATTAACTAATTTAAATAATTATATAAAAATCCATTATTATTTAATATTCATACAAAAAATAAATGAAACCTCTAATAACAACCCAATTACACTTAAATTACCGTTTAAGTATAGTAATAGTAAAGCAATTAAATAAATAACACAAAATATAAATTAATTGAAAAATTTTCTGTTTGGAGAATGGCCAAAGAGTATAACTCGAATTTCGGGAAGCAACTATAATTTTTTTTTTTTTTTTTTTTGCAAGGAAATTAATTAATTATCAAAGTTATCAATATTGATATGAATAAAATAAATAAATAAAATTTACCTCTTCTTGAGACAAGAGTAATCTTTCTTCAAGAGTATTATTAATTCTTATACGACCAAAATGTGATGTCAAAATAACACCACCAGTACTAAATATCATCAAAAAAAATTTAGATCAATGAAGCTTTTATCAATCAATTTAAATTACGACAGATTTATAATCCTTACCAATCATCAGATAAATTGCTTTCCTTATCAAGTTCAACTTCAATATTTTTCTTGGTGGATTCTTTATAGCTGTTAGAAGCAGCTTGAATGGCTTTCGTGGCTAAATCCTGATCCTTTTTTCTCACAATAACTTTAACTTGATCATCCATAAGTTGAAATAAACCTTGTAATATCAAATTTTTTAAAAGTTCACCATATTTGGTTTGATCTTTTGATACGCTAGAAAGTTGACTTCTCGTTTCATTAAATACTTCGTTAAGCAATTGTTGACGCGCTTGTAGTAATTTAAGACGAGATTTATTGATTATGTTTGATTGAGTGCTATAGAGGGAATGGTGAAAGCTTTATTGGTTAGAAAAAGATGAAATTAGAAAGTGAATTAGATTAAAAAGCAAAGGTTACATTTTTTTTTGAACTTCTGCTTGTTTAATCTTTCTTTGAAATGTTGCTTCGATGTTGATCGACTCTTGGCGAACAAGTTTAGCCTAAGTGTGCATAATGTATGCAAAAAAAAAAAAAAAAAAAAATTTCTGATGTTTTTAAGTCTTCAACTTCCTTCTTTTCTTCCAGGAAAACATAAAATTAAAAAGGTACTGACCTTTTCAATATTGAACTCTTCATCGGCCTATTAAGAAATTATTAATAAAATGATCGATTTTGTTGATGATTTAATGCAAAGTTGATACATACTTTTACTTTTATCTCACGAGCTTTCTCAATAGCTTCTTGTTCGATAAAAGTAACCTAGCATAAAAAAAGGGGGCAAAGTAAAAGTAGCATTAACCGATAGCGGAACCACAATTTAAAGTCCAATCTCTTTTCTCAAAATAAAAGTGTACCATTTTCTTCATTTCTTTATCCACTTCTTCATCGTTAAGAGCACGTAAATTCGACATTTTAATTTTAAACCTTTTCTTTACTAAAAAGAAATCAAAATATTGAAAAAAAAAAGGGGGGAAGGAAAAGTATTTCAACAAAGGATAACAAAATTTACAACCGGTCCTTTTTATTTAAAATTTCATCTACAATTTCTAAATTTGATCAGATCATATTAGATTATAATACCGCCAATGCTAATGTCATGTAACAAATCACACCAAAAATGATCAATCATTTTTTTTTTTTTTATAGATCTTTTGATTTTTTTAATTTTATTTTGAAATACTAGTAATACTAGTAAATTAATTAACAAAAAAAGATAATCAAATCAGTTTATGTGCCCGAATTTTCAGATCCTTAACGCACACCATCATGTAATACAATGATTTATTGATAGCATCAACATCAACATTAATTTCTTTGTATTAGAAAATTATATTAACCATTTAATTCATATATTAAATTTATTTTGAAGCGAAAAAACAACGATGATCCTCCGAAAAATTATATAAATGTATATATATATATATAATTCCCTAAACCTAAATAACCTAAATATTATAATGCAAAAAAAGATTTCCCTCGATAAACAAATGCTACTAAAGTAATCATTAAAATATAATTATTATTATAAACTTCTATAATTATGGTGTAACCAACGACTAATATTATTAAAAGAATCACGAAAATAAATTGCAAAAGGTAAAAAAAAAAAAAAAAGAATATTGAATTTAACTAACATTATGCAAAGGATAATTATTTCCTAATATTTTTACAAAAGGTCCCATTAACAAACATAACTTCACCTATTGAAGGTGCGTCGATGAACTAGAATTTCCAGATCCTTGAACACTCTCATGATCTCGTGACAAAGAGGTGTTATGTAAAGATGGGAGTCCAGTATTATACCCACCCGTTTGTGTCGGGGTGAAAGAAAATGTAGAATACATTGGATTTTGCTTATTTCCACCATAACCAAAATACGGAGCGACCGAGCTCAAAGAAGGCAATGTCGGTTGTATAGGAGGTGGCAGTAATGTTGAGGGCAAGTCGGGTTGGATATTTATTGTGGAAGATAATGATGATGTACTTCTACCAATTACTGGTGATATTATAGATTGTTTGGAAACGATTGAACCCAATGATGAAGGTTCATTGATCATGACAGAAACGACCTTATTTGGCATCTCATCCAATGGCGAATGCGCTTCAGGTGAAGTCACTGTCGTGTGACCATTAGAAATGGCATTTGGCGGTGGACTAGATATAGCCGATGACGTAAGGCTCGGATTTCGTTCTTCTATATCATGAACAGAAGGGAAATTCTCATTATCATCCAATCTCACAGCTATCTCATATATACCATCCTGACCACTGTGACTATCTGTCTCTGGAGCGTCATCATCATCATCATCATCATCATCATCTTTATACGAAGGTTCATTAGAGTTTGGTCTTTTAAAATATCGACGAGTTCTCTAATTTAAATATATAAATTGTTTTAGCGCAGTGATAATCATAGATGAATCATTTTTATGTTAAATGTCCTTTCGGTGTAAATACCTTAGTAGGTCGATAACTGGGATTATTTTTGTACACGGTTCCAATTCTAAACACGCGACCTTTCTTCACGGCTTTTTGTAAAGCTTGAGAAGCTGAAGCTCGAAAATTTTTATGAAGAGGATACGTACTATAAAAAACGATCGTTCAAGTAATTAATCACCATCATTTTTAAATTTAAAGGTTATATAGAGATTCAATTTTATCAGTTACCTATTCATCCAATCAAAAATGTTTCGAGGAGCACTTCCATCTGGATTTGCGATTGATGCGAGTGCTTGTACGATCATTTCTTCATATGAAGGTAGATCTATACCAACGGCCGGTAAATGAGCCCTTGATAGATTATTATTATTGATAGAAGATTGATAATTTTGCGTCGGTTGTAGCGACGATTGTCGCGGTGGTTGTTGCGGAATAGAAATCTGTGATAGAAAAGGTTGATGTGGCAAAGACGTAGATATAGCCAAAACGCGAGGATCATTACTCATTGAATGAGAACGATCGCTCATCGAATAAGCATTATTCGCGACCTTTTCTTTAACATCGGCAGGATAAAGGGGAAGATCTGGATGTAATTTTTCAGCAATGAGTATTAAATCAATTAATACTCGTTGTGGCAAAGAGGACAAATATGCTATTTTCTAATAATATAAATAATATTTCGAGATTAAATTTTGATATAACATTTATGTTCATTACTACTGTCCATGATTAATTAATTATCCACACCTGTTCTTCCGTTAATCCATCACCAGAAATTTCTCTTGAGTAACGAGAAGAACCGCTGGAATTTAAACCACTGACAGATGTAGCATCAAGCTTTCTACGCTTGCGTTCGCGTAAATCGTCACATTTTGAACACATCCATTCAGCGTCGGGTATTTCGACCACGCGGTCCTCGACTGATGGTTTATGACACTGTTGATGATAAGGAGTATCACATTTGTCACACAAGACTATCCTATTATGCTTCGGTGAACTACCATCATGACAAAGAATACAAACAACATCATCAGCGACGGCTTGTTCCAACTCGTGTTCAATCTTTATCTCAACCTCCGGTAGAGTGATATGCGATACATTTTGAGATAATTTGGGAGTCGACACGGATTGCGGGGAACTTTGTTGTGAATTTGGTGATGTTAGATTATGCGACACGTTAGACAATCTTCGTGGTCGTTTTCCTAAATGGATATAATCAAACAAATTATTTTTTTGTTTTTCAAACAAACAATGATACCAGACATGCGAGAGTTACTATACCAGACGATTTGTTAGTTGATGATCTTTTTTTGGTGTCGGATTGTGATTTCTTAGTCTCTGGGGTAAACAAAACTGGCCTTTGAACTTTACGACCATATTTAGTTTTCCGGAAATTATCATTTTCATTTGCTGATGAGATTTTTTAAATTGTACAATTTATATAGTTTTTTTTATTTTTTTTTTTTTTTTGATAAATAACATAATTATGTGATCTAGCTATATTTAAAAAACTATAGGAAATAGATCTATAGAAGAAAACGTACCATCGGCATTTTGTAATAAAGATGGTGATGAACTAACTTGGTTATTTGGTGATTTAACATCGTCTGCTTTATACGAACTGTTATAGTCTATGAGAGACTTTTTTTGATTCGAAAAAGTATTATCACCCTCATTATCATCAACATTTTGTTCAATTGATCCGGAAGATCCTTGCTTTGCATCAATAGATTGTTCGGTTTGATTTATATCATCCTCTTCAAGCTCGAACTCTCCGTCTTCGTCACACTTTAAGAACAGAAATGTAATTCAAAAAGTAAATAAATTCGTTTTTTTTTTTTTAAAAAAAAAAAAATAATAATGTTGTTTTCTATACACTGGAGAAAGTAGCCCATTGCTTTCAATAGATCTCAATTCAACATATTAAAAATGAGACCTTACCCATTCCTCCTGCAATTGAGGGTTCCCTCTACTGTTACTGACTTGCTGTCTGGAGGAGGTTGCCGCAGAAGAAGTGGTTTTACTGTTGGAGTTTGAAACTTGTGAAGTAGGTTGAGACGACATTACAGCATATATTAATAAATCCTTCGTTCAAAAGCGATAACTACACGAAATTAAAAGTTTTTTTTTTTTTTTTCCTCCAAGCGTTAAAGAGAACCTATTTTAGTAATAATTTCGAGAAGCGGTTATTATAATTTGAGTGGATATTTGTGGCTAAAATAATTTTTTAGTCGGGGCTTGGTAAGCTTGGTAAAAAATGGAGACTTACACTTGCTTTTGGGCCAGAATAACTGGAATTACTCTCCCTTAGGAAAGAGAGTTGTGACACTCTAATTGACTTTATTTGGTAAGTAATTTCATACTACTTTTGTGTAACTCTTGTACAAATATGTTTGCTCACTCGAAAAAAGTTAAAAAGTATAGATTTGAAGGTACGCGAACAAAAAAAAATCATGTTCTATCAACCTATATTATTATGTGATTTGTTTACGCGAAAGCAACTTGTGATTGATTGGATAACCAATAAGTCGGTATATTAGGATTAATCATGTGATAATGTAATGTGAATCTCATTTTGAGTTGTTAAACAGTTAATTGTTTAAGAAATTTAACTAGTCTTATAAGAAGTAGATTATTTGACAAATATTTTTTTTTGGGGAAGCTAGTCAAAATTATTTTTTTTTAAAAAAAAAAAAAAAAAGAAAATGGATAGTTAATCTGTTTATCTAAAAAAAAAAAAAAACTATAAAATTTTTCTTTGATCCTTTTTTTTCGGATTTTGATAATCATTAAGACTATACTTTAATATGGTTTAATTTCGGCAACATCTGTATAAACTTTAAGTGATATACCATTCCAAACTTTTCTCGCGGACCTTTATATCGCATTACGCAGACCCGCGCACATCCTGATTCAGATCTGGGTCTGGAGCGCTCGTGATCATAATGATCTTTCATTAAACTTAATGCATTTAGATCAAGATTTAATCATCGAAAAACAGATGCACATCCATCTTCATATGACTTTGGAACTAGTATATTCCCATTTTGTCACCAGGACGATTATCGTTATTTTGAAACATTTGGTTATTATAATTTATAATGCTTTATAAAATCTGTCGACTTTATCAATTATATACTCTAGAAAGATTCGATTCAAATTTTGGTGTGTTATATGAGGAAATTCTCGTTCCATTATTACTCTAACCAATCACGTTTTTGCTGAAAAAAACAATTCCGATACAGTGATCGCTTATCAAAACTTTAATTTCCCCACAGTTACACGTCCAGAAAGCAGTCATATTTATGATCTAATTTTGAACGTGAGAAGCGTAATTTTTCATACACCGAGTTATAACAACGAATGCATTTTTTAAAAAAATAAATAAATAATATATAAAATTTATTATTTCCGTTATAATGATCAATAAAACGGTATTTCTTAAAACTGCAGATGATTAAACCTCGTTCTTACATTACATTTGGATGTACGCGCATTTTTCACTATCGGAATGTATCGAACGATCAAACCTCATATAAAATTTCAAAATATGAATCAGGTAAATAGTTTCGTTTTTATCAATTTCGCAATAATAAATTCGTTTATTTTTTTTTCACATTTTTAACGTATTGTATTAGTTGTTCATTGGTACAGATAATCAATCATTATGAGATTTTCAAAAATGAAATTTTTTATTACGAAAGTAAAGATTTTCAGGACTTTTCACGTGATAAAAAATTACTCGTAAAATTTTCACCCGCACAGTTAAATCATTCTCAAAAATTTAACCGAAAGAATTCTACGATTACGGCAGCGTTGTCATCTATGGACAATGGAAACTGGACAAAAAATGCTTTCCATTGTCCATTGGCTAAGCAATTGAAATAGAAAATGTGTCCCATTATTACTAATTTTGTTTGTTTATATCTTTAATATCTTTGAAATTTACTTTATTCAAGTCGATAAAACGAAATTAATATATTCATTAAAGGAAATTCTAAATTATACTTCTAATTTTTGATCGTCATTACCATCGGAATAAATTAAAATTAATTTCTTCAATTACTCTTTCTCCTAAACATTGTGTTTCACTTATTATTTGTAATTCAATATCGCCACCATTAAATATTTCTTCATAATAAAACAATCATCATATGTATTATTTTTAACCTCATTTTCTTTAATGATTTAATTCTTAATTGACTCATCTTCAATTTCTAAATTAATAATGAATGAGTATTTATAAATTTAATATAATTAAAATAAAACGAAAATTTAAAAAATTTTTATATTTCCAATAAATTGTCGTTTTTTTAGGGATTGTTTCATTATATTGCGAATTATCCGGTTCTTGTCCAGTTAAAAAATTTGGAGTATTGGTATTTTCATCACTTAATAAAGATTCTTACATATTTAACAAAAATACAAAGAGAACCTTGTTATTTTTTGCTTTTTATTCATTTAAAGTATTCCAAACCATAAAGTTAATGAATGTGCCATTTTTCCTTCCGCATGTACCCTTTGAAACCCTTTTTTATATTGTGAAATTATGGATGATCAATGGACAACAATGGACAATGGAAGCTACAAATGGATACAATGGACATGTGTTCATTGTTCATTGTTTGCGAATGGATATATCACTGAAGCTTGGGATTTGGAATGTTTCGTAAATTAAGTAGTGTAAGCAATGCCTCAGAATTATCCTGACGACGAGGAAATAGCCTGTGAAGGCTTGCGATATTCTACGATTCAATTCAATGGTTAAACACAAAGGTCACAACGATAGACACTTCTTGTATCCATGATAATATGTTACTAATTAATTTTGCTTGATTTAACTTTATTTTAAAAAAATTATTTACAAGGAAAGAAAAAAAGAAATACTAATATATTACAAATTATTGATTTTTTTGAAAAGTACATTAGCCAAATTCAATAAAAATGCATTATAGTTTAGATAGATATGCTAAATTCTATCAAAATTTTATAACTCTAATTATAAAAACTATACTTTTAATATTAATTATGGTAATAAAATTAACTTAAAAAATTAGAGATAATATAAAAATGTTTTTGATTAGTATTCTTTCATATAAATGATTAATCAAGTAAATTAATAAGTGGAAGATCTAATCTAAAAAATTAGTTGATTTATAATTAGTTAAATTTTTTTTTTTAAAAAAAAAAAATAATAGTAATTGCATATACGGACCTTCTCAAAAAAAAAAAAAAAAAAAAAAAAAAAAATCACCTTAGAATATTTTACTTCTTTAATTATTTAAGGATTTGAAATATTTAATAAGGCTTGTAAATTTAAAGACTTTCTTATATAAATATTTCGAAACGTTTTTAAGTCCTATTTTTAGATCGCTGTTCATAGTTAGGTGTTTGTTTGCCATTTCAATACGTTCCATTGCTTCTTTATTCGTAGTTTTTGGGTGGTCAATATTCCACTTTGACTTATGTGTAATATCATTCCTTGCACGTTTATATTCAATCATCTTATCTACCAATTCGATTGATACATCTCCTACTTGATTACATGCTGCTTCGCACGATTCACGTTATAACATGATAGAGCTTCATTCTGCCAAATGGTGATTATCTGACATGTAACATCCACTGCGTCTTTGTCATCAACTAATATTTGTCTTTCAATAAATAAATAATAATTTATTTAGGAAAGGATTAAAAAAAATCAAATAAATTTTCCTTGTACTTGCATGACTGACATTTATTAGCATGATTATTAAATTTTTCACAATTAAAAGTTTCATATTGAAAATCACTGAGAGAACTAGTATCGATTGAGTTAGTGCAAATGAGTTTTGACATGATCGATCGGTTTAAAGAGGCAGAAGAGATATTATTAGGAAGGTTTAGACAACGATTTAGTTGAACGACCCATAGGTGCTATATATATTTGAAAAATGAAATTCATGCAATATCATGCAAGTAGATGTTTTTTTAACGCATCCTATAAGTCAGTTTTTTTTTTTGCCAATATCCAATTAATTATTTATCGATCAAGCTTGAATTCCCTTCTTTGTTCAATGATTCTAAGCAATAATGACGAAAAAAATATTCAGCATTTATAATGTGATCATATGGTATAATTTATAGTTATAGTTTGCATTGCAGTTTAGTTCATCTACAAAAACAGCGTGGAAATTTTCAACAAATCATTTTTCATCGGTTAAATCTTTTCTCCGTTTTTATCTTATCAGAAGATATAAGAACAATTAATTTTATTAATAATTACGAATGTTATGCCCCGTCACATTTTGCTAATGAATACAGGATAACCAAGAGTAAAATATAATATAAACAAGAAGGAAAACATTAACAAAATAAAAAAAAAAAGAAATATTTATATTATACAGTATACAGATATTAAAAAAATATGTGAAAGAAAAAGAATTATGTATACAAGAATACAAATAATAGAAATTATTTTAAAAGAAATAAAAGATATATTTGTAAATCTATCACTATTTAGTCGAATAGTGATTTATAAGATTTTTATAGATATTCTCCTTATGAGGATAATATCGTGCCAGGAGAAAATTTTTTTGAAGAACTTATCAACACCTCCTCTAATTCGTAGACACACCGATCTTTAATTTCCAAGTTTTACATTTTTCGTCTGATGTCAACGCCTCTATCACCTTAATTCATTAAAAAAAGTGAACATCGTCATCGTCTACAGTTAAGAAAAGCGTCATCAATCGTTTCGTTAACGTGTTTCTTATTCAACATAAATAACTCTGTGAGATATATTAACCCTTTCCACTCGTTCTCAATTCCGATTTCTGAATATTCGCAATGAATTGTAACTCGAAAGTTCTTTCTCTAACAACAGTTGACGACATATTAAAAAAGTTTTTAAAATTGATTTACGTGATCGTGAGACGATTTTATTGGTTTGAACAGACCAATTTTTTTTTCATATTTGAAAATTAAAGTCTTCAGAGAATTCTATATGAAATAGAAGAGAACGCAAAGACTTTTTTTTATTCCCATTTGGTTGTTGCAAATATACTCCAAATGCTTTATAGAATTAATGGAGCTAACTATGAACTAGTACATCAGGCAGGTTACATATTTTATCATATTAACAAGGGGATGGTAGACTTTGTCCCCTAATCGAACACAGAATAAAAGCGATGTATCAAGAAAATCGGTTACACGGAATTCATCTCGATTTCCGATGATATGTAATGATATGTATAGCTTATTTTTACTACTACCTGTTTTGTAATATTGGACAATGGAAATTTTTTAGTTGCAAAACGGTTACACCAATTAACTGTACAATACATTATTTTAATACCGAAATGGAGAATTATTTATTAAATAAAAAATTACGCACTTAAAAAATAAAAAAAAAAAAAAAAAAATTATTAAAAAAAATTAATATGGTATTCTTTCACCAATAATCTCCCTACAACGCTGTGGCATTGAATTAATTAGAAGGCTATCTGGAATTTTTTCTCACTCCTCCCCCAAAACTCTTTAATTCATTTAAAATTGCTCAAAGGTTTAGGTCTGGACTATTAGAAGGCCAATCCATAACCTCCGGAACATGATATTAAGAAAATCCTTAGTATGCTTGTCTTGCTGTAGCCGCCATTTACCTCGTAACATACTGCGCACTTCTTTTCCAATATTTATGTGTAAAATTTTCCATCCATTATACGCCTAAAACAGAAGAGCCTTTTACACTAAAACAACCCCATGCGATATTTTACTTTATCTTTTGGTATTCGACGAATGGATCTTGCATTTTTATACCAGTGCTTTATTGTATTACGGAATAATTGAAAGATGTTTCATCACTAAATAAAGTCTTTTTCCAATTTATCATCCTTATGTTTCGGACCCATTAAACACGTTTCTTTTTATGAACTTGATGTAAGCATTGGGAGTGCATTTCGATATCCAAAGGTTGGTTAAATGTCTCGAAATAGTTGAGCGGGAGACATCTACTTCAATATAGTAGCAACAGAAGTTGCAGAAATTGAAGGTTGCCTTCGAATATATTGTCCAATAGTACGGGATGTATTTGGGTTATTTCTTAATACGACACTACCACCTTTATTTTTTACATCTCCAGTATTTTTTTTTATTTTTTTTTTAGGTTATTATAGATAGTTCTAAATGAATCTTCGTTGCTGAGTGTACTTCAGCAGCTTTACACATTACCTGCTTCCAGAAATGTAATATAGTTTGATGATGAGTTGTTTTAATATACAGTTTTTATTAAAAATATAGGAAAATTTTCGCTTGGAGGTGACGCCTTACTATTATTCTATCTCCCATAGTGTCACTGATGTTGCATTCCTTGACTTGCTTAACCAACAAGAGCTTGGTAATCCTCCATAAATTGGTAGACCGGCTGTAGCCATAACTAAGTTTTAGTGAGGCAAGGTACTCGATTTTTTTTTTTTTTTGTAATAATTTACCAATATTATCGAATTTGCTTGAGAAATGATCATTTCGAATTGATTAAAATGTTGAAGTTGCTAGCCAAATTTGTACTTTACAAAATAGAGAGAGAACACGATAAACGAATTTTATTGGTCATATCTTGCTATAAAATAACGCAAATGTACAACCATTTGCCAACACTGAAGAAGAAATTATCGAATTTGCGATGGTCAGTTATAATAACTTAATTTGAAAAATAAATTCATATATATAGATAATATAGATAAATCAAAATTTAATTTTCATGCATAAAATACTTTCGATATACTAAGGTATTATTACACTTTGTTTTATCTAATACAATAATAAAATAAAAACTTCAAATCCGGGGGGATCTTTATTCTGTAATATGAACATTTGTTTTAAAAAAAAATGAGTTTGTGGTTTTTAAAGACTGGTTTTGAACATGGACTAATCCAATATACCTGTGATAGGATTATCATCCTTTAGATCAGCGTCCAAAGCGCCGGCAATTATAGCGTCATGAAAATTTTTCCAAGGTGTAGCGACGTTTTCAAAATCTTTCCCAACTGCGACTATACTCTCAAGATTCTTGTTAAGTATGGCCATATTGTTGATCACTTGTTCCAATACCTAACCAAAATTTTATCAATACGTTCATTCAGCTATTTATGTCTAATAAGTACTTGTAAAAAAATTTATTTCTCAAATCATTACCCCGACAATGTCATTTATTAGGTTGTCTCGTTGTTTTTGAAATGTTGTTCTATCACTTGATTCCATTTTGCTTGATTTTTCTATTATTTTTAATATATTTCAAAAGTAAAATGTAAAGGAGTAAGGTTATTTTTTTAAAAAAAAAACGCGTCAATTTATTCATTCAACAATGATCACCAATCACGTGATAACCAAACCGATGAACTGATGAAAAAAAAAAAAATTTTTTTTTAAAAAAAAAAACCAAAACCTTTAAGCATGGCAGAGGTTGAAGAGAAACCCTCAAATAGCGAACAAAAGGAACCTAGTTCAAATAATTTATTATATAGTAAAACCACGTTGTTTGTTCGCAGGATACCATATGATGCCACAAATAGTGAATTCGAAACCTTTTTTTCTGAAATAGGACCACTTCGATCTTGTTTTCTTGTAAAAGATAAAGAACCCAATGTTCCTTTAGCAGACAATTCGATTAATCATGATGATTCGATCGTTTCTCCTATTAACGATAATAAAGAGATGGTTCCTACACAAGAAATACAAAAGAATGACAAAAATAAGGGTTTTGGTTTTGTCCAATTTGTCTTGACTCAAGATGCTGAAAAGGCTTTAAAAGAGTTAAAGAAAGTGAAATTTAGAGGGAAAAGTACCTTGAAAATGGAATATGCTATTAAAAAACATGAAAAGCTTCCTGAGCATAATCAAAAAGTCATAAAAAGAAAATTCTCGTTGGATGAAAATATTAGCAAACAAAAATTAGTAAAAAAAGAATCAAAAGGATTCATTGAAAAAGTTGACAGTAATAATGTTAGAACCATTGTACTAAAAGGGTTAGCTAAAGATTTAACTAGGAAAAAAATTTATAAAAAAGTTAGAAAATTTGGCGATATTCAAGATATGAAATTTCCTAATGGTGAAGGTTCTACTGATATCGGTTAGTTGATTGAATTGTGATTATTATCTGAGAGTGATCGTTAATTATTTGAAAATTTTTTATTTATTTAATTTTTTTTTTTTTCGTATGTTAGTACACGTCATTTTTAAAACAACAAAGGATGCTAATGATGCATTATCACACTTGGATGGTCATGTCTTTCATGGATCAATGATGAACGCGAAATTATGGAATGCATCTTCGAATGATAAAAAAGGTCGTTTAATAGTTCGTAACATCCCATGGCAAGTATGTTGTAGTATTCAATTTTTTTTTTTTTTAAAATAAAAAAAAATATTTACTATACTATTTTATAAATGCTATTAATAGTATCGTGAACAAGAACTTTTAAAAATTTTCTCCAAATATGGAGAAATAATAGAAGTAAATTTGCCGCGTAAATTCACAGGAGGTCCGTTACGGGGATTTGCGTATATACAATATAAAAATTATGAAGATGCGGAAAAGGTATTGATTTTGTATTATATATAAAATTATAATATGGAATTCTCATTCATAAAATCGTATCTTGTTTACAGGCGATTAACGGTTTGAATGAAACGAAACATCAAGGACGTACTATAGCTGTGGATTGGGCTTTACCAAAGGACAAATACTTGGAGGCCATTGGATCACAGCAAAGTGAGAATTATAATGAAGAGACTATACAGCAAGATTTAGAGCAAGGTTCTGAAAAAGAGGTTGATGGTCAGGAAGATAAAGATAATGGTGATAGTGAAAGTGATGATGAAATGAAACGAGATGAAGATGATATTATAAATGAAAGTGGTGATGAGGAAGCACAAGATAATAGTGACGATTCGGAAATTGAGGACGATGATGGCGTAACTAATGAAAATCATATTCTCAATGAAGACGAAGATGAGGAGGATGAGGAAGAAGCTGAGAACGAAAGTGTGGATAGCGCAAGTGAAAGAGAAAGCGATGATATAGAGATTCAGGACAAGACACCAAAGAGCTTGTATCCTCCTTCGGAGGGAAATGTATTATTTATTCGAAATCTTTCTTTTGATGCCACAGAAGAAGAGCTTTCCGAGATGTACGTTTTGCACATTTCTACATTCTGACATTCTTGCAAAGGTTAAAATGAAATTAATAAAGTTTTGATTTAGATTTAAACCATTTGGACCTTTGCGTTATTGTGTCATAACGATGGATCATCAGACAGGACGTTCGCGTGGCACGGGATTTGTTTGTTTCAAACAAAGAGAACATGCAGAAATGTGCTTGGCTGAAGCGAGAAAAATAAATCAAGAAATATTTAATGAACGAGAAACAAATGACAAGAAAAAGAAACGAAAAGAATTAATATTTAAATCCGTCCTTACGGCTGATCCATCAGATTCATTAGCTAGTAAATTTACATTACGTGGAAGAGTACTATCAATCGTAAAAGCAGTTGATCGAAACGAAGCACATAATATAATGGAAATGAATCAACAAAAAAGACGTAAAGAGGATAGAAGGAATATTTATTTGCTACAGGAAGGAGTAATATTTCCGGATTCATTATCCGCTAAATTATTAACACCTTCGGAAGTTAATAAACGTGTCACATCATATTCTTTTAGAAAGAATTTGTTGGCAAAAAACCCAAACCTTTATATTTCAAAAACCAGATTGTCAGTAAGGAATCTACCATTAACAGTAGATGAAAGTACCTTAAAAAAATTAGGAAAAGAAAGTGTTAAAAAGTTTAAAGAAGAGGTTGAGAATGAAGAGAGAAAAGATTTAACAAAAAGCGAGAAAATGGAAGGGTGGAATAGAAAGGTAGATGTTAAGCAGGCTAAAGTAATTCGAGCCAAAGATAGAATCGATAAAACCACACAAAAACCACGTAGCAAAGGATATGGATTTTTGGAATTCACACAGCACGCACATGCATTGGCAGCATTAAGACATCTTAATAATAATCCGGAATTATTCGGAGAACGGAAAAGATTAATCGTAGAATTTGCGGTAGAGAATTCTATCATTGTTAAAAAGAGATCAGGAAGATTAAACAATAAAAATGATAAGAATAAAGTCGTTGAAGACAATGTTAATGTAGATAAGAGGAAAAAGGTTAGTGTGCTGCATACATACATATTGGTTTATTTATTTTATTTTTATTTTATTTTATTTTTTAAATATTGTTTATTATAATTAATTTTTTAATTGACTTAGAAGAATAAAAGTCAAGGTAATAAGATTAGGCCGGAAAAGAAGATTAAAATTTAAGATTACATAAATTAATCATCAGAACATTCTTGAATATAATTTTTTGGAATGTAAGAATCGACCAAACTCAAAAAAGCGTTTAAAGTACATAAAGATTTATCGTTAGGATGATGTTGATCATCCTTTTGACATTCAGGTAATACTAAAATCTTATCATTACATCTTATACGAATATAATGATTGTCATTAGCCGAAGAAAATAATTTATAAACCCAAGATTTTTCATTTGATTCAAATAATTCAAAAGTAATATGTGTATTAAATTTTGGCCACCTATGATCGAATCCACTGAATATCGTTAATAAAGGGACCATCGATGAGTCATGACAACTAAATACTGCAAACTTCAAATCTTTCGTTTCAGATTTATTATTGACTTTTGAGAGTATAATGTCCCGTAAATCGATGAGGAAAGGACCCATCGCCAACCTCCTCATTTCTGAGGTTTCTTGATATCTATTTAGAAGGAAAGGTTTGGAAAAGGTTGGTCAATTTGGTCGGAATTGGAAAAGTAAATTCGTTTCATACGTTACCCGTCAAACCATTGACCGGTAGTTACATTATCCATTTTGTCAATGATATCATCAGTGAATTCTTTTGGAACGGGAATTCCGTTTGCCTTTGCAGAAATCACGGTATCATATATTCCATTACAAGAAGGTTTAGAATCGATAGCCACTTCTTTTACTATGGATTTCAATTGAGTTGTTAAATATTCTAATTCGGATTTGTAAAGTGATTTTGAAGCTTCGTTAAATTGTTTGGTTAATTTCATCAAACGAGCACATTTATAATTTGGAACTAAAGTTTCATTTAATATATCTCTGTTTAAAAAGATTTCATTATTAGAGAAGATGTATAACATCCAGAAAAGTATTTATAAATCCAATAAAATACCTAGTATGAATATCTAATATCAATGAATCATTTCTAAATTTTGAAGGATATAAACCTCCAACCACTAGTTGTTGTAATGATTCAATTGTTCTTGTATAATTGGTTGAACGTAAGTGAAGTGATTTGTTATTTGATAATGTTTCATCCAGGAATTTTAACTTATCAACGTATAAAGATCGAAGGTTTGCACCTAATTCAGACATTGATTTACGACCGACATCGGTCAATTGTCCAAACAAGCTAAAACAGAGCAGAAACATTTGAAATCTAATTCAAGACGCATAAATGTCACGTGAATGCTTGTATAGATACCATGATCCGGGAGGAGACAAAGGCAAGGAACGTGCCAAATGAGAATTCATATCCACTATCATTCTATAATCAATCTTTTCCAATTTGTCAAATGATAAAATTCTTGTAGTCAATTCTTTTGTCGTTTGACATAAATTCCATATTGGTGGTATAAATTTTTCTAGACGTGATTTAACTGGTGTACGTTCGCCTATTTAATTTCAAAAGAATTAATGATTTTTAATAATAAAAAAAAATATATATATATCATTTAATTAAATCCTTACCGTGTCTGTGAATTATTTGAACTAATTTCAATTGTAAGTAGTCGGGGTAATATAATTGTAATTTCTCATCATCAAATGATGGAAATAGTGGAGGCATTGTCACAATAAAAATACAAAAAAAAAAAAAAATTTTTTTTTAAAAATCGAAAAAAATTTTTTTTTCTCATGAAATTCCTTTTATATAGTTTTATTTAAAAAACATTAACAATACAATTTATATTCTCCATTGTTTGATGCTCTCATTAATTGTAAAACAAATAATCATTTTAGCTAATAAAACAACATAAACTTTATTGAAATGCATGTGAGGTATTTTCTGATCATTGCATATCTTTTAGATGGATTCAGGGGGCAAAACCTCTTCGAGCTGATCTTTCCCCCTGAAATTTGAACCGCCAAAATTGAAAGTCAATAACAGCATTCCAAGTCAACTTGCGGAGCGGGAAAAGAAGCGATGAAGTTATCATGTACACATTCAAAGGGTTATTCTCGAATATCACGTTTAAAAATAATATTGAAATTGGATAATCAAATATCAAACGTATTTACAATTACTGTATGTTCAATCCATGTGTGGCAAAAAAAAAAATTTACTTTTTTGTTCTGCTGATGATATAATATTAAACCTGTGTGCAATCATAAAATGTTACGTTATATGATATAAAGATATTAAAATATATATACTTTTTTGAATCTATTTGAAATGCACATGCGCTGATCATATAACGCATTGACCGAGACATAAACTTTGCTTAAGCTTTCAACTATTCCTTTTTGCTAATGTTTTTGATAAGCATAAAAACGCGTACTTTTCAATGTTGTACGAATTTTTATCGCACATTTTCTCTTTTTAGTAACAGAATGGAAAGTCAAAGAGAAGAGCTGGTAAACAATGAATTCTTGGAAACCACATTTAGACCAAAGTATATAAAACTTCTTTCTATAAATTATAATATTCTTTTTTTTTTTTACACCTACAAATTAAATCTTATATGATGAATAAGAGAATGGGTAATTCAAAAGATTGAATCAATGATTGAAACTTTATTATTTGATATCGCAAATAAACGTCCTCCCGTAATCAATTCCGTGTCAAATAAGAAACGAAAAGAATATCATTCTAGGTGATTGATTCATACAAGTAATTACGTGTTCAAGAATAATTTCTAATTCTTATATAAACATAGATATGATTCTAAAAGTGGCATTTTACGAAGAAAAAATAATGATCTGAGTAATAAACAAATTCGATTTTTATCACCAAAAACTTCGAAAACCTTTGCCATCATGATTCGTATCCTTGATATTTGTCACGAACTTTTAGTTCAGAATGCAACTGCTACCAAACGTGATATTTATTATAAAGATGTTAAATTATTCGGTAATCCGCAAACCGTTGATCTGGTAAGGATGTTGGCTAAAATAAAATATAATGAATGTCACGTACTATTTTTTTTTTTTTGTTCTAGATAATAGATGAATTGGCGTGTCTTTTTCGAATTCCAAGGTCCTGTTTAAATGTTGTAAGTAATTTAAGAAGAATGACTTTATCGCGTTTACTGAAAACTAACAATAACTTTTTCTCTCACAAGATTGCTTCTTCTAAAGGATTAGTGGCTGGTTCTTTGAAATTGTTTCAAAACAATAGAATCGTATTGGATTGTTTACCGACCAATGATCAGGTAATTGGCATTGTTGGAAGAAATAACACTTTTAACACGAAAAAAAAGCTTACGTTTCGTTTCATTAGGGAATGCTTATCCCAAATATGGATCTAATTGATAATATCCTTTAAATATTGTAATATTGTCATTCTTTTTGTTTATTAAAATTTTTTTCTTAACGATCCATAAAACGAATTGAAACCAATGCGAAATTCGTCTTGGTCATAGAGAAAGAGGTAAAATGTATTTCATTTTAGTTTCATTTTTTTGTAAGGTCTTTTCTTTTGCTTAAATTTTATTTTTAATATATTTAGGCTACATTTCGATATTTATTATCGAGTAGAATGTACAAACAATTAGGACCCTGCATTTTAATTACCGTGCGTAAAAAGATTGATTTACAACATTTATTTTTTCGAAATAAAAAACAATTGATTAATCTTTATTTTATTTTATTTTTTTTCGGTTAAAAGGGAAAAGGGTATCCGGTTTGTAACATTTTACAAGTTCGAGATTGTGCAAGTATTAGCTCTACAATGAAACTTTTCATGCATTTATATCCTAGGATATTGCCACGCGCCAATTGGTTAAAAAATTGGGTGACTTACGAAGACCGTATGAAACGTACCCATTTCTACAAATATTGGGATTTTTCGATAACGATCCATACGGTAACGAATATATTTAAGTAACAATTTTTACAATTCTTTGATCGTAAATTATTAATCTTTTGTCTTTAGGAATAGAAATCCTTTGCGTCTATAAATTTGGATCTTCGGTTAATATGACTTTATAATATTACCAAATTGCGTTCAACTGAATTTCAAATAATTAAATATTTTATCTATAATGATGTAGGCCAAATCATTTGATAATGAAAATTTGGCAACCCCTAGTATAAAATGGCTCGGATTGCGCTATTCAGACCGGAAAAAGTAAATTATCAAGGTTCTCCTGGGACTTTTTCACGTGATGAAATATTATTTAACATAAACATTCATTCAATAGATTTAGGATTCCGAGAAGTTCGTTAATCAGAATCACTACAGCTGATAGAAAGAAGGCGTACCATTTACTTCAGCGCGATTATCTTCAAGTCAAATGGAGGTAGACTGGATTTTATATAATATATATATGCAGTATTATAAAAATTTATTTAGTAAGTTAAATCATTTTTATTTTTTTTATTTTTAGAGTCGAAATTTGTCGTATGTTGTATATTGGGTATAAGGCCGAGATACAAAGTTTGTGTGACGAAGAAAATGGGAATTTACTGAAATACCTAAAGTCAAAGATGAGGTTATTTGTCACGCCTTTGCATTGATGCATGCGGTGACACGATTTCCTTTGACAATTGGCATGTAATGTCACATGTCACCTTCATCACAACATCGTTAATATCACATCACAATGTTTAATATCACAACAATTAATGCGTATGCTATTATGTAGATGATCTCCTTATGTATGTATAACTTTATGTTCCCGTTCATATGTCTGAAATGTCTTTTGTTTGCAGATTAAATGAACTCTTTCCAACTCATATCCGATTGATCTGAAGAAATATGATTTTAACAAAAATAAAAAAATATTTAAAAAGAAATCTTTAATGGGCGCGCTTTATGAAATTTTCTATTCATTAGTTTCAACGGAACACCAATCACAAATTTCCTCATCAATCTTCTAAACTTGGTCGGATAAACAAATCTATGATATCATTAGTGCATTTGGTATTACCGTCAACAATAACTAAAGATTGTCTTGTGATTGGAAGATCTCTTTTTATTCATTTTTTAGTTTTACTTGTGAAATGCTTCTCTTTTTTTTTTTTTTTTTTTTTTTTTTTTTTTTTTTCGTGTTTCGTGTGAAAAATTAAAGTTCAAAAAGAAAAATTTGATGTTTCTTCAAACAAAAGCTTGTGTAGATGTTTATGCAACATGGTAAAAAAAAGTTTCTGTTTTCGGAGTGAAAGATGCGGGTCCAAAGTTGGGTCATCGATTGAAATAGACGTTCATTGTACTTTGTCAAGTATCACGGATTAAATTAACATCATCGTGACAAGAGATGAAGCCACTTTTTATTTTAATATATATATATATATATATATATATGATAAGTTCTCCACTCATCAAATGGGTCATTCAAATTTTTCCGAAAATCAAACAGGAAAAAAAAAGGATCACATTGAAAATAAAGTACAATTCATATTTTTACATTATCCAAATTTTCTTCTATTGTTTAATCACTTTTTCTTTTTTCTTTCACGATAAAAAGTTTTTCGAAAACCGAATTTTTATTTTTGGCGTTCAATTTTTTCCTGATTTGGGTTCATAGACCCGTAGCAACCTTATTTCTTAATTTATTATTGACGCCTCTTTTTATATGTATTTGGAAGTAACCTTGACTCGGTTCCGATTGATCAGCTCACGAGAACAATCTCGATCACATGATTTATATTGATGAAACTTTGATGTATGACCACTAAAAAAGAAATAAAAAAATTTTTTTTTAGTATCAACCTAATTGGGACTGTGCAATAAGTTTTTTTCAGCCATAACATGTTAATCACAATCAATGTTAGGTTCTAGACACCGTGAAAATAAGTATTCAGGAGAATTCCCATTTATCCATTTATAAAGTTTTTTTTTTTTTTTTTGCTCGTTGTACTTTTTAACCCACTTCTTTTTCAAGCGATCCTTTTTTTGGTCTTTCATTTCATGTCAAAAAAAAAAAATACAAAAAATGGTATATTATATTTATATTACACAAAGTTGACATTTTATTTGAATGTTTGCCAATCATAGCACTTTAAATTTGAAAATGAATTCTTTTAATGATTAAATACATATAAGAGTGAAAGCCCAAAAATAAATATTAACAAAGGTTACACATTTTGAAGATAAAATGTTTAATAATAAAATCCTTACTATAAAGTACAAAAAGTACATTGTTATGAATGTAACAAAAATATTAAAAAAAAAGATTATGTAACTAAAATTCTAATTTTTTTTTTTCATAGTCCCAATATAAAAATCCCTCCAACTAATTTCCATCAAATAAATATGTTTTTTTTTTAAAAAAAAAAAAATAATTATAATATATATATATATAATTAAGTTATATCGGGAGTATGGAATCCTACATACACCACAATATAGAAGTATTAGAATGGTATTGTGTTTGAATGATATGAAATATTATCATTCATGTTATTTACATACTTGAGGCTCTTCGGGCATCGGTGTTTCTTCTATGATATTTTTTACTGGAAATTTATTTATTGTTGCAATAAGATCGGTCATTCCTAATAAAATTTCAAGCAAATTAATAAAAATTGTTACATCAGCACAAATAAAGATTTAAATTAATACATACTTAATGGTTTTGTAACATATTCGTCCATTCCCGCGAAAAGACATTTCTCACGATCTCCTATCATTGCATGTGCCGTTAAGGCAATTATAGGAACATGTCCACCAGTTTCTTGTTCAAATTCACGTATTTTCTGTGTGGCTTCGAATCCACCCATTATAGGCATTTGTACGTCCATCAATATCTACATAAAATTTAATAATTTATACTTTTTTGTCGTGAAATAAAAAGTGACAAATAAAAATCAAAACTTACAAGATCATATCGTTTTGCCTTGAAAGCCTCAACGGCTAATTGACCATTTGACACTATTTCAACCCTGTGACCAAACTTCTCTAATATTTTAACCGCCAACTTTTGATTTACGATATTGTCTTCAGCCATTAAAATGTCTAATGGTTGTTGCCTTGCAAAATCACTTGGAACTGCTGCATGAGATTCAAGCGCTGGTAACAAAGCATTCACCAAATCAGGTAAATTCGATGGTGTGCTACTATACGATGTAATGCCAAGATCTATACAATTCTTCATGTTTAATTTAGGTATCATTTGAGCCAAGAGAACTATAGGAGTGTATCTTAAATGTGCAATCTCTCTTAACCTTTCAACTATAGTTAAATCATCAACAATCACTGTATCGAATAAGGGGGTATCTGATTTGCGAGAAGCCGTTATTATCGCAGACTCCTCTACTGAACTAGCAATTTTTGGTCGAAGACCTAGATCCTCGATTATACTGACGACACCAGTTTCATCGCGCAAGGTATCGATAAACAAGATATGTCGACCATGCCAAGGAGCCATTTTTTGATCTATCTGGTCTCGGTTCATTGTACCCAAAGTTACCTTAACTGTGAAAAAGAATTCGGACCCGTGCCCGTATACGCTCTTTACCCACAAATTACCACCCATTAAAGATACAAGACGTTTTGATATTGAAAGTCCTAGACCAGTACCACCATATTTTCTTGTTGTTGAACCGTCAGCCTGGCAGAAGGTGTCAAATATCACATCAATCTTATCTGCTTGAATACCTATACCAGTGTCACTAACACAAAATTCCAAGACGACATGATCACTCATACATCTAGAGTGTACTGAGAGAACGACCTCCCCTTCGGTGGTGAACTTTATAGCATTTCCAATAAGGTTTGTTATGACTTGTCTTAGACGCAATGGATCCCCAATAAGTTGGTCAGGTATACCATTGTCAACATCATAAATTAGAGCCAATTTCTTTTGGTTCGCCTTTACAGCAAGCGTTTTAAGAACTCCAAACACAGCAGACCGAAGTGAAAATGGAATTTGTTCAATGGTCATACGTCCGGCCTCGACTGTTTTTAACGAGGTCAAAGCAATTGTAATTAATAATATTGTATTTGAAGAACCATCTTTATAATTTGTAGCTTTATTCATTAGATTCACGAGTTTACATCAAATATATGTATATCAATATCTTCAGTAAAGCTTGACAATTTATAAATTAGTTAACTTTGATTTCTGATTGTTTATCAACTTACTCTTTGAAATATCTAGAATGTCGTCGATAATGGTCAGCAATGAATTGGCTAGCGAACTAACAATCATTAGGTTTTCACGTTGTTGCCTTGTCAATTCGGTTTCCAAAGTTAACGTTGTCATTCCGATAATGCCATTCATAGGTGTTCGAATCTGTATTTGAAATTAATTCGCATAAAAAAGTTTTTCGGTTATAGTAATGCTTAAAAACAAGTGGATAATAAATTTACCTCATGTGAAATACTAAAAAACGAATAGAAAATAGATTTACCTCGTGTGACATGTTTGCTAAAAATTCACTCTTGCTCCTGTTAGCCAATTCTGCGGCTTCTCTCGCAGCAGTATTCTTTTGAATACTTTCCCTTAAATTGTAAACCATCTGATTGATCTTTGTTTTGAGGGAATCCATTTCACCTGAAGCATCAACAGTAATAAATTGAGTGAAATCACCATCTGTCGCTGCAGCGGATATCTGGGCGAACGCACGGACTTGAGAAGTTAAGTTTGCAGCCATAGTATTGACGTTGGATGTGATCTCTTTCCAAGTACCTCGAACATCTTTTACTTGTGCTTGGACTCCTAGTTTTCCTTCCGTACCGACTTCACGAGCCACACGTGTGACTTCGGCAGCAAAGGTAGACAACTAATATAATGTAATTACGAAAAGATTTAATTCCTATTTTAACTCTTTTTTTTTTTTTAAAAAAAAAAAAAAAAAAAAAAAAAAAAAAAAAAAAAAAAAAAAAAAAAAAAAAAAAAAAAAAA